TGGCCCAGCAGTGTACTTGGCCAATTCAGACTTCTCATCTGCTCTTCACATTTGAGGTTTTCAACATGTCTATTGACATTTGTTTGACGAGCACATGGCTGGTTTGTTGGTGTCCCACATGCATCTTTCCTCGTGGGGTCAGTAGGTGGTGGTCTGGAACCTGTTTTCCCACTACTTGTTTCTTTGCCTTTCTTCAGTTTCGGTCAGGTCTAACCTGGCCTTTTTTTTTCTTTGGTGTTTCTCAATTAGCATCTCATACCTTATGTGGTCACCTTCAACATGTCCTGAGCCGCCTGATGGTGTAAATCAATAGTAATGAGTTTCGAGCTAGTTTGAGTGAATCCCTTGTTCTGTGTAAATCATTTGTAGAGTTGTTTGGCAATTTTGAGGCTTCATTTTATGTGAACTCCCTGGTTGTCTGTACAGCTTCTCTGGCTTTCTGGACGCTTTTTCATGTAGGTGGCCAGTTGTTGCTTACTCCGTGTGCATCTATGAAGGGTGCCAGATTCTGGATCTGGTCCCTGGTAGGCTAAACAACTTCTGTAACAGATGTGACCTTTTAGTATGGAGCATTCTCTGCGAGACAGCTTCAGAAATACACCAGGACTCTTCCAGAGAGCAGCATTTCATTACATTCAATGCTGGGTTTTTGTAGATGACAGTTTACATAAATTTGTTTTGAACCATTATTTTCCTAATTTTGCTATGACTTTTTGTTATCGATGTTGTGGATCTAAAAAAAATCTTATCTTTTCTGGGCTGACTCTCTATATAACTCGGGAGTATTGGCTCTGGTGCCACAAAGGGACATCCAGAAAACTGCCAGGCCTCTCAACTTGCATAGGACTACTTAATTCCAGGATCAGAGTCTAGTGTACTCGGAGAGGTGAGAAGCGCATGGGAATCTAAAATCTACATCATAACCGAGTAAAACTGCCTAGAAAGTATAAATGAAACAAAATAAATCAAAGAATATTTCTCAACGTAAAAGTCTCATGCAATGGTCTCGCAAAAGTCGTGAACAGTTTCTTTAATATTTCACCATCCGTGTATTTAAAAACAATTCTGAAGTTGGAAAGCGACCCACCCAGCAATCTCCTCTTTGTCAGTTCTTTAATACCTTTCCATATAATTTGTAGGTTGTATGGGGCCTACTTTCTCCTGTTCCACATTACATAACAAGGCATTTATTCACTTTGAATTTCATTTGCCATGTGTTGCTCCATACACTTATTTTCTCCATGCTGTCTTGAAAATCACGACAATCATATGTTTACATTTCCAGCAGCTTAGTGGCATCAGCAAACATGTTTATCAAGTTTTGTATTCCTTCTGGTAGATCATTTGTCTAGACAAGGAATATTACTGGTGGAGGAACTGAACCCCTTGGTACTCTACTAGTAACACTTCTCCAGTCTGATACATTGTCTCTGATTACTGCCTTCATCTTTCTATTAGTTATGTTTCATCCATGTTGGTAGTCTGCCTGTCACCTGTCCAACATGTTCCAGTTTCTAGGAACAACCTCTTATGTGGGACTCTGTCCCCCATATGAGGCTGGGATAGACCCTTGACAGAACAGTTGTCCCCAACTGTCTGCTGACAGTTGGGGACAACTGTTCCCAACTGTCAATTGGCTGAGATAGCTGTCCTTAACTGGGGGCAGCTATCTCCCCCCCCACCTCCTGGGGGAGGAGCCCCTGACCCCCGTGCCGGCTGCCCAGTTCCTCAGTTCGTAGGCTGAAGCACTCTGGGGCACTTGTCAACTCTTGCTCTAAATTTCCTGCAGGATTTTGTGCCCTTGTGGTGTTTCCTGCTATTTGTGACATTTTGGCCAGGAGTAATGTAGTGTACTGGGGCTGCCTTTTCCTAAGCATCCTGTAAGTATTACCCTTGAGTTCTAGGGTTGCCTTCCTTAGAGCTTTTGGGCCTTCACTTCCATAGGGGTTCCTGTTGCTCAGGATTTACCCTACCCTTGGGGCCAACTGGGGTTTCATGGCCTTTGTTTGACCCTGAGTAAGGATTGTTGTCGTTGCTGGTTGGGGTGCAAGATGTTGCGCAGTACGCCTACCTAGCGATGGCAGTGTTCCCTGTTCCTCCTGTTGTTGTTGTTGTTGTGCTTTTGCAGGGTTTTCTTTTCTTTTTGTTTCTTGCCTGGAGGGGGTCTGCCTGGTCTGACTATTAGTCCACATGTGATATTTTCGGTGGCCCTCTAGGCCTTTGTGCTTGTACACTTCCCAATGGTCCAGTTTACCCCTCTTCCCTCATATTGACACTCTTAGGGCTCAACTGACTTTGCAGCACCATTGCCTGGGCGTCCCATAGGCCAAACCCTCTATGGGTCCTGGAAAACTCCGTCGGGGCTTGGCAGACCCACGGATGTGTCTTCGGAGTCCCATCTCACCTTATGCGAGTTTGCAGGTTGTTCGTTACCCTTGTTTCAGGGTAACAATCACCTGGTTTGCCTGCATCATGCTGCTTGTGGGGTCACCTGCTAACACCTTCAACCTGGGGTCGAGCGGGTCTTGTTCCCCGCTCGTTCTTCAGTTTACCTTTTCTTCTTTGGAATATCCCTGAGTAAGTTCAGTAAGTTCTTCCAGCTATACAGGGAAGTTCTTCTGAGCAAGTTCTTCCAGCTATACAGGGAACCTGTCGAAACAGAGGCAGCTACAGGAGGGGACACACAAATATTTGTGCACTGCAGTTACACACCCATTCCGACAGGCTCGATCGCAATCTATCCAGATGAGAACACGTTCTCTTCCGACTAGACCTTCTAGACTAGTCTTCTAGACTAGACTAGAGGGGTCAAGCGGCTGTCACGTGGCTTGGTTGGTTTAGGTTATTGCAACGTGCTAAGTTGGTTGCCCGCTAGAATGCCCCGGGGCTGCCCCGTTTTGGTTAGGTTGGACTTTGGGGAGCTGGTCTCTTCGACCTTGGTTCAGTCCACAACCCCTGGGTCCTTTCACTGCTGTTGTGGTTCCTCTGCTCTCTTCCCCCCCCCCCCTCCCCCTGCAGCCGGCTCCTTCATGTCTGAGGATTTTGGATTCGGGGCGAGGTTTAGTTGGGGATGAGATTCAGGCAGCTTCGGGGACTGTCCCCATTCCTTGCAGGGATGAAGGCCTTTAAGTCTGCTGAGCCACTGAGGCTTCTGGGCCTTTCCAGCAGGCCCCCCCTTCTTGTTGCCTTTCCCTTGGACTCTGCCTTTCTTTAAGGGTGGTGGGCATGGAGGGTGGCTTGATCTGCCCTGGGGCCTCTGTTGGGGGTTCCCGGGGCTGTGGGGGGGGGGAGCCCGCTAGCAGTTCTATAGCTGTTTGCCCCTGCTTGGGCCTTTTTTTTTTTTTGTCCTTCCCATCTGCTTTGGTTTCCAATATTTGCTAGCATAATTTTGGTTCCCATATGTCAGATGCTTCTCCTTTTGGTTGCCATCTTACTTTTCTGTGGGTGCTTTCTCGCCTGGCCACTAGGGTAGCGCTGTGGCTTATTAGCATGTGACTGCTGGGCATGTGAGCTCGCGTTTTGGGAGCATTTTTTCGCCTCCGTCTGGATTTTTTTTTTTTATCCTCCCATTGCCGTCTCTGTTTTGTTCTTTCTTTCGGGGCTTCCTGCCCTCTCTGTTCCTCTGGGAACGTTTGGTGTTGGTCTTTTGTTTTCTGTCTGTGTTTGGGTTCTGGGACTTGGTTTTGGGCCCGGTGTCTTGTGTCCTGCATGCTCTGCTGGCTCCCACGCCCTTGGTTTTCGGTCCATTTTCTGGCTGTTTTCGCCGGGGGTTCTGTCAGGGTCATGTATCTGGCTCTTTCTTCCGTGGTGCGTTTTCCTCCAGTGAAAGTGGCGGTTTGGGCTTCCCCCGGGTTTGTTTCCGGGTTTCTTTCGGTTCTTTGGTTTCGTTCCCAATTTTCTTCCTATCAGGTTTTCCCTGTGGAGGTTAAGGTGACCCTTGGTGGTTTTCCTCCTGTGCAACCTGGAATTTGCCCCTCATCCCCATATTGGGTGTGTTCTGGTGTTCTTGGGTCATCCTGGCTTGCAGACTGCCCTTGGGGCTAGGCACGGGTTGTGTGGTCGTGCTGAGACTCCGGCTTCTGCTTGTCAAGGTGGGCTTTTGGTGCCAGCTTTTTTGCTGGTGCCTCCTCTGAGGCCATCTTCGTCTGGATGCTTACAATGCTTACCTTTCAGTAGCTATGGGGAAGTGAGATCTAACTCTTTATATCTGACGTGCTAATTACTTCTCTCAACATTTGTTTCATCATATCTTTTCTTTTTAAGTTGTGCATGGAATTGGCTTCAAGAACATTCCTTCAATGCATTCCACTTGTTAACCATCCATACAGGCAATTAGAACTTCCTTACATCTCTTCAACACAATAGTATGTCCAGCTTCCACTGATGTTCCCTTGACCTACCTCTTTTTAATTTAAATGGAATTCCTTTATCCACTTTGTCTATTCCTCTCAAGATTTTGTATGCAGTTATCATATCCCCTCTGTATTTTTTCCTCTCCTCTAAGGTTGTGAGGGCGAATTCTTTCAACCTATCCTCATAGGTGAGGCCTTTGAGGCCACTCTGCTGTTCTGGAGAAAATGCAGAGAACTTTACTTCTGTATCCATTCAATAAAGCATCTAAATTATTGGAACTGCCTAAAATCTCTCAAATTACATGGCCTGGCAAGCAGGCAAGAGGGAGAAATTATCATTTACACCTGGAAAATATTGGACGGACTAATTCAAAATCTGCACACTAAAATAATGCCTTACACGACCTTGAGGTAGGTAGAATGGATAAAATAGCCTTATTGAGAAGATAGGACCATGAGGTATGACAGAATGGGTAAAATATTCTTATTGAGAAGAAGAGGTGCAGTAGGTACTCAAGAGACAATTTAAAGGTTGGTAGTTTTGTGGATATGTCTGTGGTCCCAGAGTCGGTGCACAGGTGAGATACAGAGACTGCACATAAAAAAAGGCATTTCATCACATTCTATTCTTTATTTTCACATCAACAGGTCTCATTATTGTTCCATCCCGTGAGTTGGCAAAACAGATAAAGGACAACATAGACGAGCTCTGCAAATTTGTTGAAGCTGATGGATTTCCAGAACTAAGAACTTGCCTTGCAATTGGTGGAGAACCTGTTGTGACAGCACTTCAAACAATTCGGAAGTATGAAAAGCAATGTTTTCTGTTCTGTATCTAATTACAATATCTAGTACGTGGGTGGGGGTGGGGGACCTCCTGACTTACAAATGTTCAATCTTATGTTTGACTTCCAAGTCCCCATTTTAGCCCTTTGTCCTGCAGTATGAACCAGTTCTGAAGCCCCCCTCTCCTCCCCTCCCACATTATGAACAGTGCTACTAATGCACTATTTCATTTGTTGATCAAGGAGAAGTTCTCATTAAAGGCTGATAAGAGGAAATGTTCTCACCTAGTTACACTCATCTAGTTGTGCTTGTGGGGGTTGAGCTTTGACTCTTTGGTTCCACCTCTCGACTGTCAATCAACTGGTGTACAGATACTGGAACCTATTGGGCTCTCTCAAATCTACATTTGAGATGGTGTATGGAGTCTGCATCTACCACATCACTGCCTAATGCATTCCATTTGTTACTCTGACACTGAACAAAGTATTTCTAATCTCTCTGTGGCTCATTTGGGTACTAAGTTTCCACCTGTGTCCCCCCCCCCCCCCATGTTTGCGTTCCACCCATGCTATATAATTTTGTCCACCCTGTCAATTCCCCTGAAAATTTTTTAGGTGGTTACCATGTCTTCCCTTACTCTTCTGTCTTCCAGGAACATGAGGTTTAGCTCCCGTAACCTTTCCTCGTAGCTCGTACTACAATGTAGTTACCCAAGTGTAGTTGCAGGATGAGAGGTACGCTTGTGGTGTCCCGTCTTCTCGGTACTGTCTTTAAACGCTTTGAAACTACTGATGGTCTTGGCCTCCACCACTTTCTCACTTAGCTTTTTCTAACTGTCTACCATTCTGTTTGCAAAAGAAAACTTTCTAATATTTTTTCAGCACCTTTGTTTCCTTAACTTGAATCTGTGTCCCCTTGTTCGTGAAGTTGCTGGTTTCAGGAATTCCTCTGTCAATTTGGTCGATTCCTGTTAGTATTTTGTAAGTAACGATCTTATCTCCTCTTTTTCTTTTATCTTCTAGTTTTGGCATGCCTCCAGTCTCGCCACGTAAATCTTGTTTTTCAGTTCCGGAAGCCATATTGTAGCATGCCATTGCACCTTTTCCAGTTTATTTATGTGCTTCTTGAGATTTGGGCACCATACAACTGCTGGATTTTCCAATTTTGGTCTCACAAAAGTCATGAACAGAACATGAACATATTTCATCATCCTTTTAATTAAAAGCAAGTTGGAAAGTGACGCATACACTCCTCTGTGTTTTTGTGTTTCTCTGGCAACAGCTTAGTATCCAAAACTACCCCTAGGTCTATTTCTTTATTAGAGTTCTGTAATTCCTTTCCACATAATTTGTAAGTGGTGTATGGTCTATTTCCTCTGATTCCACATTCCATAACATGGCATTTATTCACATTGAATTCCATTTGACATGTGTTGTTCCAAACACTTTTTTATCTAGATCAATTTGAAGGGCATTACAATCGTCTGCGTCTCATATCTTCCCCAGTATCTTAGCATCATCCACAAACATGTCATATAATTCTGAATTCCTTCATGTAGATCGTTTATGTAGACAATGAACATTACTAGTGCAAGAACTGAACCCTGTGGTACTCTGCTAGTAGCACTCCTCCAGTCAGATACATTATCTCTGATTACTGCTCTCGTCTGTCTGCCTGGTAGAAAATTTTTCATTTATGTCGGAAGTCTTTCCGTTACCCCTCCAGCATGTTTCAGTTTCCAGAACAGCCTCTTGTGTGGGACTCTTATCAAAAGTCTTTTTAGGTCCAGATACAGTCAACCCAGCCACCTCTTTCCTGTAGTATCTCTGTGGCTCTATCATAAAAGCTAAGTAGATTAGTTACACAGGATCTTGCTGTTCGAAAACCATGCTGTCTGTTCGTTATTATGTCATTACTCTCTAGGTAAGTTGTCTTGAGGTCTCTCAAGATAACCTCTCAAGATTTAAGTTCAACCGATTTGGCTTTAACTATTTTTTCTAGTGTTTTGACCACCACGCTTGTTAAAGACACGGGTAATGATGTGCAACAGTGTGCATGCATTATCACTTGTATAGCCACCTCCTGTAGCAATTATATCTCCTCACTCTTCAGAAAGTATCAAATAAGACACACAGAGCAATTCCATCATTCAAAATAGATGGAAAAATAATGTTCTTATTTGTCCAAATTTGCTTAGATTTTATGTAGATTTTGGGTGGTCCAGGAATGCATCCCCTATTTATAGCATTACATCTGTGGAAAATCTGGTTATGAGTTATAAATAGCCAATTTGTGAGCACATTTTAGGAACATATCCAGTTTATAAGTTAGGGGCCTTCTGGACTTTAAATGTATATTTTTCTTTAATTTAGACCTCATAGTATATTGTACAGTATTGTACTGTATATTTAAATGCTACTGTATGTGGTATGTTAATATACATTTATATTTACTGCTTGGGTAACAGCTTCTTCCTCGTACCAACCTACCCTGGCTTTGCGCCCTGGAGAGGCCACTCCAGACCGACATCCAGAGTGCAACTCCATAGTCTCCTGAGACTGATGGATGCCTACTACTACTACATATACAGTATTTGATCATATATATTCAGTGCAGTAGACTCTTGGTTCTGATTGGAGGGATTTTACACCCTCCATTTCTCCACTGGAAAAAAAGTTGGAGCATTTCAAATATTGGTTTGGTGCTCTTTTCTGGAGGAGCCTCTTGATGGTTCCTTGAAGTCATCTTGGTGAGATAACTTCCTCTTACTAAGTCACATCAGCTGTAAATGTCTTGCATAGCCTATCAAGAACAAGACCCAGAATCTGGGCCCACTTCGCAGTGACACAGCAGGGGATTATTACGATTATCCTCACTGAGGAAATATCCAGAAAGTAAATGAGGCAATACAAACAACTGCAAATTTCACAAAAAATTAAGTACTGAAACAGCCAAATGACTCTGCAAATTATAAACCTAAATGATTCACTTTAAACTAGCTGAAACCCCCCAATTGCAAATGGTTGCCAACAGGTGGCAGCCTAGGATCTCCATGCTTCAGTGCCAACAATGAATCAGTATTGTTGTGGATGTCTGTAGGTATAGACCTCCCTGAATTGTCAGCCGTGGCTAGTCCCACCTCGTATTGAGATAAATGTAGGCTATCCTTTGGACACTGCCCTGTGAGGGTCATTTGCTTATGTGTGTATTGTTCATGACTTAGTATTTGCTTCACATGCATGCATTTACGAGGCTCACTTGTTGTATGGACTTAGTCTGTTTTTTTGTTTTGAGCTGCATGTGTTTAGGGCAACCCTTGCCCAAGCGTTCGATTAACATTGCCCCTTTACTGACAGTGACTTCTCAAGTGTGTTCAGGAATTCTGCACTGAGAGAGCTACTGTGTAGAGCCTTCTCCCTGGGTAGTGCATGAGTCTTCAACTCCTCTGCAAGGCCTTGTTATTATGGGGTGTTTGATGTTTATTGTTGTAGGGTGCACTAGCATTCCTGTACTCACCTAGTTGTGCCTTCAGGAATTGAGTTTTGACTCTTTGTTCCTGCCTCTCGACTGTCAATCTACTGGTGTACAGGTACGGGTGTGTGTTTATTTACATGACATGTCACTGACGCCTTTCATAATCAAATTTATCCCGTAGGCTGCATATTTGTCAGTTCTGTCGGCAAGTGTCACTAGTGCCTGGATGTCCTGCCTAGTTACATTCATTTCTTCAGGCCCTGATAACTCTCCTGCAGTTCTTTGTTGTAATTCATTATGATTTGATCTGCTGAGCCCACATTTGCTACTTGCAAGTTTGAGAGTTGTCGGTCGGTTTTGCTACAAACTGATGATCAGTTCTACTGTCTCCTTCTGCCACCTGATAGATGGGTATTAGCCTCTACCCCACAGCATGAGATATTGAGTTTAACTGGTCAGCACTTTTGTTTCAAGCCTAAGTCTTTTCGTGAGTTGTTGGGTGCATCTTGACCTTCAGCCTACTCTTTTTCCTCTTAAGCCTTCTTGGTCTAAGGATAAGGTGTTAGTTTTTCTTTCATCTCCTCAGTTCTCGATCTTGGGTAGGGCTTCCTGTCTTAGTCTTTTTCCTTTAGGAGTTTGATCCCCTCTCTTCTTTTCTCTTTCCCTGGTGAGCCACTTTATTCTATTCTCTGTTGTTAGTTAACAACAAGGAGCCTCCTCCAGAAAACCAGAATTGAATGTAATGAAATGCCTCTTTCTTGGAATCCTCGGTAGCTCCCTACCACGTGCATTGGTTGATCTTTCTTTAGGCTTCAGATGTATCATTGTTGACATAGGGAGACCAGCTTCCATGGTGTTACCATCTAGTGGTGGCAGAAAGATGTAACTAGAGGGGGTATGACCTAATTACTGGATGGATCATTTGCAGAATTCTTTGCTGCTTTGTTTTACTTCTACAAACCTTGCAGTTGTCTGTTTTGCTTCACTTCGTTTCTATTTGTCAGGGTACAAGTATTTCTTTGATGAGGGTTATCTATGCTCTCCTGCTTCCTGTGCCTCAGTGGAGTAGGTAGGTAGGTTTTGGTCTCTTGGTCTCTGGTTGGCTATTAAAGATTCCTAGAGCTGATGTAACTTACACTTGTGGAGCTATCTCACTGTGGCTAGCAACAGGGAACCACTAAGGTCTGCTTCCCTCCAGAAAGAGGCATTTCATTACATTCAATGCTGGTTTATTTACCTGTATGGCCTTCGTTACTTGTGGTTTTCGGGAGAGAGTTGGGCTTGTAAGTAGGAATATGATTTGTTTTCTTGTCTTATGGAGAGTGCTCTCCTCATCCCAATTTGCATCTTTTGTGAATCCCACTTTTTACTGACCTAAATATTAATCTTTGGTCCAGTTGCAGTTACGGCCATTTCATGAAATTTGTTATAAACTGCCATATGGTATATACAGTACAGAATAATTAATGGATGGGATATTACCTTCACTAATTGCTAGTGACTTAATTGATATATTGACAAAACACCAGTAATACTGAATATGTATGTATGTTTGCAGAGGAGTACATATTATGGTGTGCACACCTGGTCGGCTGATTGACATGCTTAACAAGAAGATGGTGCGTCTAGATGTGTGTAGGTAAGACCATGAAAAATCACAATTTGTTTGACTCTTATTCTAGATCCCGAATTTGAAGTTCCACTGTACAAAATGTGTCTGTGAATATTTGTCGCCATAATATTCTTCTTCAGCTTATTTAATTACGTCTTTTGAAGCATGTTGCTCATTAAGTGTGCATTAGTAAGCAGGTTTCCTTCAATATACTTGATGGGGAAAGTCAAATACTTCAATTGCCAAATATTACCATGATATTGCCACCCCACCCATTCCTGCATCCTTACTATTTTTGAATAATTTAAGATCAAAAAGAGGAAGAAAGAGTATATAAGAGGATGAAGATGAAAGAATTAGGATAAAAATATGATAAAATGCTCTAATGTTGTTAGGCTAATGAAGCAAAGGTTGGGAGGAGCTGATGGTGATCACATTGAAATGTTAAACTGTTCAGAAGACCAGTTCATTTTATGAATGTACGTGGGATATGTTTTGTTATAAAATGTTTGATCGTTAGTTGTAAGTCAAGAGTAACTAAAGGGGGTATTAGCCATTTCATAAACTGGTGAATGATTGCTTCGTTGACTTCGATTTGAGCCCTTTGATTTGAGGCTGGGTTGCCAACACAACCAATCTCAACCAATGATGACCAACAACAAACTCATAATGATGCTCAAATTTTGTTTTATCAGTTATAAAATATCCAGTCATTCACACTTGTGCTAGACTTGGATATAACTCTGTGCATCAACGCTTTGAAACTACTGATGGTTTTGGCCTCCACCACCTCCTCACTTAACTTTTCAAATGTCGACCACTCTGTTTGCAAAGGAAAACTTTCTAATATTTTCTGCACCTTTGTTTTCTTAGCTTGAATCTATGACCTCTAGTTCTTGAAGTTGCTGGTTTGAGGAATTCATCTTTGTCAATTTAGTCGATTCCTGTTACTATTTTGTAAGTGGTGATCATATCATCTATTTTTCTTCTATCTTCTAGCTTTGGCATATTTAATGCCTCTAGCTTCTCTTTGTAACTCTTCTTTTTCAGTTCTAGAAGCCATTTTGTAGCATGCCTTTGCACCTTTTCCAGTTTATTTATGTGCTTCTTGAGATAAAGGTACCATACAACTGCTGCATATTCCAATTTTGGTCTTTCAAAAGTCTGGAACATTTCCTTTAGTATTTCATTGTCCAAGTATTTAACAAGGAAAGATTCCAGAAGCAACTACTGCTGCTGTGCGAGGATTTTTGACTTTCTCTGACTACTACTGAAGCTCAGAGGAATTAGTGATCCACGCCCGCGTCATATAAATTGTCATCCACACTTTCGTGGAAATAAACATTTTCATTCATCTGGGCTCTAGGAGACCTGAACTGTGGACACCTGCTCCTGGAATCTTTCTTTATTAAGACTACTCATAGCTGAGTGGATAGAGCTTCGGCTTCACAGGCGTGGGGTCAGCAGTTTGAGTCTCCTAGAGCCCAGGTGAATGAAATATTTATTTCTATGGAGGCTTGGATGACAATTTATTAATAGTTTTGTTGTATTTGTGTATAGCTTCATGCAAAAACATGTTACAGTTGTATCTTGATGAGTTGAGCACAATTAAGAATGATAATGAATCGCTTTCAATTAATGTGTAAATCTTGGAGACATGTACACATGCAGACGATGAGTCACAATAACGTGGCCGAAGATATGATGACCAAATCACACATCAGAAAGTGGAGAAACAACATTTTGGTCCGTCCTGGGCTGAAACCACATGGCTTAATGATGGTCCAGGATGAACTGAAACATTGTCGTTTCTCCACTTTCTGATGTGTGGTTGTGTTGACACCATAGCTTGGTATGGAAGCCCAGTTGTTTATATGGTCTCCCACTCAAAGTGAGCCATTACTTCACGTCCAGTTGCACTGGTGAGATGGTGTACATCAATGTACCAGTACAGTGTATAGTTTGAGAAAGGGAGTAGTCTTTGAGCAGACCATTAGTCTGTTCTAAGGCACTATATGAAGCTTGGATTAATCTTTAATTTGCTACTTCAGTGGGAAGGGAGGGATAATAATTTGGAAAAGGGCTAGCTTCCATGGTGTCTTAGTATAATGGTATAAATTATAAATCTGATACATTCCGAGTTCAGTCGTAATTTTAGTAATCCATTTTGAAAACTGTTGTCCTTAATTGAAAAAGATCTGGAGGACTTTTGGGCAAGAATTAGGTTGAGTTAACTTAAGCATTTTATACCAATTACAGCAGTAATTTCAATAATGAGATCAATGATGCTTGAAATACTTAATATAAGGCTACTTAATATCTTAGTACTCAAGTTGGATCAGAGAGCACCCAAGCTTACTGAAAAGGTTCTGCCCCAGCTGAGACCATCCAGTTCCTGAGAAGGAAGGCCCAGCTACATAAACACAATACAAAAAGAAATCCATACCCACTGCCAAGACCAAAAATGCAGTCTCCATCAAAGGTATCTGCATCTGAGCTAGAGAAGGAAAAACTGATACCTACAATACATTAGTGGATAAGATTGGAACCTCCTGGAATGGAACTGGTGTCTCCAGACAAATCCTGAGGAAAGAGTACTAGAAGCCATAGGCAATGCTGGGTACTCCTGCCCTCTACAGTCCCAAGCTAAGAGCACTGGGGTCTGTAAATCAAAGAATGGAAAACCAACCACATTAACCCTTTTGCTGCAGTGTTTGCTTCACACCAGGAAAATCTAACATTTTGTGATGAAATGCCTCTTTCTAGTAGAGCCCTAGTTGTCTCCTGAAGCTGTCTTGCTCCTTATTACAGTCACTTTAGTTGGTGGGAGTTCTATTTGATATACTGTAGAAGCTTGCTAATCCGAAGCCCGCCGATCCGGGAACGACCTAATCCAGCAAAAATCGTGGACAGATAAAGTTATATCGATATCCAGACAGACTGTCCATAGAAGCCGTACTACCGGATATTTGTCTGGATCAGCATATACTGATAGAGAGTTTGAAGCCTAAAAATCTCTCCTAAACAAAGGGTGGACTTGCCACAGAATATAATCTTTTACCACTGAGAGTTAAAGATAAACGGGGAAACACCGGGCCTAATACTCATTATTCACCACCACCAGGAAAGGAGGGAGTCGGGCAGGGTTCAGGCAAGCAGGGAGGCTGGAGTCGATGTGGGTGTGAGGAGTGGGTATGAGTGGGGTGGGTGTGGTAACCATCCTACCCCTGCATACTCGCCTGCCAACCACTAAGCACATCTGCCATCCATCCATCCATCCATCCAGAACCTGCTTGCCCACCCACCCACCTGACCAAAACGCACCTGCCAACCTCATCTGCTTGCCATCCACTCATCCAGAATCTGCCTGCCTGCCCACCCGCCCACCCACCTGACCTACCCGTCTAAACCTGCCTGCCCACCTACCAGCCAGACAGCTAACCACTCACCCTGCCTCCACACACTAATTATAGTGTGTGGCAATTCAAATTATGTTGTTTGTGGTACAAACATTTTTGGAAATGTTCACTTTTGGACTTCTGCAGTGAAACGTCCTTTGATCTGGAAAACGGGCTCATCCGGCAAGGGTCCCTCCCATATAATCCAGATTATGCTGGGTTGGATTAGCATCCAACAGTACTGGAGGCTAGAGCCAGAACCCAGCTCCCCCCCTCCTCCCTCTCACAGAGGCACAGTGAGCAAATGACATTCAGACATTTTACTGGCAAAGTATCCAAAAATTTGGCGAACCTTTTGTACAAGTGCCGAGTACAAAATTAGAAGAAGGTTGAACGTGTGAGTATGACATCAGATTGTTCCGCTGTAAAGAGGAGCCATGGGAACATGCCTGGGGTTCAGACACTGGGAAAATGTCCAAACTTGGCTTTGGTTTCCTGGTTCAGACAGAATGGGAAACCAACGGCAAGTCAGCCACCAAGGAGCCAAAAGGATCACCTTCCCTGAGAATGACTAGAAAGAACATAGAGCCACACCTGAACTGGGGAGGGAGAAGGGAGGTAAATGCACTCCCACCTCGACTAGTCCAGTCGAAAAGCATCCACTGCAAGAGCCTCTCAATTGTGAAATGGAGCCAAGTAGGAGGGAAGATGTCTCTTCAATGCCATCATGAAGAGATCCACCTTGGGGGGTGACTGAACATCTCGGAGCCACAGGAAGGACACATCATTGATGGACTACGCCTTGGAAATGGAACGGAACCGAGATGGAACATGTGCACATAGACCATACCGAGAGCTAAACTCCAAGAATCCAGATAAGCCACATGCAGCATCCAGCACCACATGGGGTAGGATTGAAGAGACCTCTCAAGATTCAGGCAATTGACCACTGGGGAAGAGTCGGAGCCCAGAGCGGAGCTGAATCATGCTTCAACATTATAGGGCCCCTACTAATGGAAGAAGTCTTGCTTTTAAATAAAAAAGGATTTGGATAATGTATAAAAGTGTATCTATGACCACCTGATAAAACAAAGACTCATGATCCAGATTTTGAGGTTACACTGCACTTGTATATGGGTTAAAAATACAGTATCATTGCATAAAATTGTGCTTTCCTTGTGTTATTCAACTTTTATTTCAGTAGTTATAAAGTGGAATTTCACCATCAGTATGTTCTTATTTCATCTTATAGATACTTGGTTATGGACGAGGCTGACAGAATGATCGACATGGGATTTGAAGAAGATGTTCGAACTATATATTCATACTTCAAAGCACAGAGACAAACACTCTTGTTCTCGGCCACTATGCCTAAGAAGATCCAAAACTTTGCTCGGTCTGCCTTGGTAAAGCCTGTCACAGTAAATGTTGGTCGAGCTGGAGCTGCCTCTATGCAGGTCATTCAAGAAGTGGAATATGTGAAGCAGGTTAGTGTACACTCGTACTCTTTAATCGGTTCAAGCCACCCAAGTACATAGCCACTGCTTATTTGATATCCTGACTATCAAGAGGATACAAAATTCACATAACTTACCATTAAACCTTATTTTCCCTCTCCATTGGATCTCTGGTTGATTGGTATATGTTCCAACGTTATACTGGATGGGTCTCGTGGAATGTGTGTGTGTGTGTGATGTGATGGAAATCTTAACTTGGTTAGTGCAATGTGAAAGCATGCAATTGTCATTCATAATTTTCCTGCTGATCAAATTTAATCTTTATTGAATGTACTGTATTGGTAGTTTACATGTGAAACATATTTTTCTTTATAAATTCTAAACAATAATAATCCAGTCAATATTGTTTAATTTTTAAGATGAGAGTAGTTGGCTGGATCCGATTGTCTTTTAGCAAGAAAAACACATTAAGCCCCACAAATATTAAAATAAGTACTATACAGTATGGTAGCTTATAAAATATTGAAGTACTATAATTTTTGTTTACACAGGAAGCCAAGGTGACACACATTCTGACCTGCCTCAACAAAACATCTCCCCCTGTCCTGATCTTTGCTGAGAAGAAACAGGATGTTGATCTTATACAAGAATACCTATTGCTAAAAGGTGTCACGGCTGCAGCCATTCATGGCGGCAAAGATCAGGAAGAGAGATCTGCTGCTGTTCAAGCTTTTCAGGTATGGGGGTTTGTCCTTTTGCAGTATTAACAGTACATTATCACCTTATATATTGTGTCCAGTAGTCTGAAAAATGTTGTCATCTTTGTTGCTGATTAATCATTTGTATGATATAAAGTAAAAGTTACAATTTTAATAAGTTCTGTAATAGTTATCCAGGCTGATTTAGCACAATTATTAATTTCACTAAATATTATTTTATAGTCGTATTATATTCATGTTTCATCCTCTAGAGAGGAGATAAGGATGTGCTGGTTGCTACTGATGTGGCCTCAAAGGGACTTGACTTCCCAGGCATCCAACATGTCATTAATTATGATATGCCAGATGACATAGAAAATTACGTACATCGAATTGGACGTACTGGTCGGTCTGGGCAGCAAGGAGTGGCCACAACATTCATCAACAAAGCAAATGATGAGTCGGTATTGTTGGATCTCAAACATTTGCTAATTGAGGCCAAGCAGAAGGTTAGTAATGTTTTTCATGTGCATCATTTCAGATTTTGAAGGTGTATACAATAGTACAGTACAGAATAAGTAGTGTGCAGATGAGTTGAATTACTAGATTGACTAGAAATTTTTTAATTTTTTTAACTTTTAACTAAAGTATGTAAAGTAATGCGTACCTAACCTTGAATCACTGTTATTATATCATGTCTTCAAAATATTATAGTACAGTAAGATGTATATTGTAATTTCAGGTTCCACCATTCTTGACAATGGCAGGAGGTGGAGAAGAAGACCTGGATACTCTTGAAGCAAATGGAGGAGATGAACGTGGATGTTCATACTGTGGTGGTCTTGGCCATCGCATTACATCCTGTCCTCGCTTGGAAGCCATGCAGAATAAGCAAGCGGCAGGAATTGGGCGTAAAGATTATCTAGCTGCAAATGCTGCCGACTATTAGTCAAGGATTCTGTCTGTTACATTTCATCTTGTTCGTGATGCAACACCTCTGACGTAAATAAGAGTAAAGTTGCAGATGTCATAAGTGATAGGATTAAAAAGAGTATATTCCATTTCCCCATAAAGATATCAAGAAATAACTGATAGCTGTTTTGATAGACATATTGCTTTTTCAAACTAAAATACTGTAAATTTACATGGATGCCTTTCATCTGCACCAGGTATGCTTTCCTGGAAAAAAAACTTGAAGATTGAAGTCGCACAGAAATGGTACTTCATGCGAGAAAAATAGGGGGTACATTCATGATACAGTACTTCCAAAAGTCAGCTTATTCCATTTCTCAGTAAAACAAATACCTGAACACTATTACTAAATACTTGTGCCACATTCCAGCAACAAATACAGTACAAAGACTTATGTGGTGCCATGGATCCTATGATGCAAGAAAATTGTGATGGGTTATGAGGTCAATGTTTGGTATTTGAGCATTGTTCACCCAAATAATTTTTACACGAACCCAATTCATTAACTTGCATATGGGTGAACTTGGACTAATGAATTTTAAATTTTGGTGCTAAAACAATTGTAGGCGAGAATTTAGTATGCCGGGGTTGATGCTGATTTACAAGATATCCTTGGATATATCTCATTCTTGGCAGTAATTTGGGTTCCCATTTGGGTTCATACACATTTCCCTCTTCCCCCAAAAAAGTGTAACTTGAGGGGGCTTAGGTATGACTACCTGGGGCCAGTGAGGGTTCCCTTGGCCTTCCCCTCTCTGGGTGTTGTATAACACCCAGTAAGTGGTATCCTATGGCTCCCAGACTTTTGAAATTAATGCTGTATGGACATTGAACTGATGTCTCTTACACAGGTTCATGGTGTTGGCGACCAAGTCCCCGAGTGATGGAAGATCGGAGTCCGTAGCCCTGGCTACATTGGGCCCAGACCAGACTCCTTTGTTGACTCTCCCAACTGGCCCTCTCTGCCCCCCTCCCACTTCCATGGCAGGGTTGAGCCCCAAGATCCCAGTGGGGACCACCTCGTCACCTAGATTGACCCTATCTCTTGTGATAACGGGGCCTTTTAACCCCCTCATGCTGGGGGAGCTTGGTCTTGAACTTCTCGCAGTCGAATGTGCATGATTTCACCAAACTCGTTTACATTCAAGGATTTGTTTGATCCTGCCAGGTGGTCTTACGTATTTTGATCTTTCTCACATTGATCATGCATGTCTTGATGATTTACACACCTATAAACACCTGGTTGATTCAGTTGATATTCATGTAACTTTTAACCTCACCCAGACTGACACACGTGTAGTTGCAGCCCCTTCTCAGGAGGCAGAAGACTTTTGGCATTGTTGACTTGCACTGGTAAGACGCCTGTTCGAGTCTCCAAAAATGCCCAGGTTTTGGCATTGGCACAATCATTCTCCCACATCATGTCGTAACTGGTGATAGAGCTAAAAGTCTGCCACAAAGATATTAAATATATTCTCCAGATTGATAAGTTTACTCGACCCCCTCGTGGTGGTAGTTGTCAGCCTTTTCGGTAGTCAAAATCACTTTTGATAGTAGGTCCCTTCTGTCTTCTGTTGTTCTTGCAGGTTTTTTAGATGCTCCAGTCAGGAATAAATCCCCTCTCCTCACTTATGTAATAGATGATGGAAATTTGGACCTGATTTTTTGCGATGCACTGGTGAGGTGTGTATGTGCTTCCCTGTGTGGAGTCCCAGACACCCAGCCTCCCTGCATCAATTGTGGTGATGCCCTCCTGACTTCTCCCACTTCACCCCGCTCTTCTTTCACTACAAATTTGAGGAAGCTATTCTTAAACATCATGACTTCTCATGTGTTGGAGCACACTTTTCCTTCCCACCCTTCTCTCCTTTTTCAATTCCACAATCATTTCCAGGCTTTAGACCCCCCAATACCTCCACCAGCTCCCCATCTTCCGCTCCTCTCCACTCTGACCCTGAGGATCTTTCACACGGTTCACCACCTAGTGTTTCCACCATTCCCTCCCAGTCTTCTGCTGCCATCTTTCCACCTCCCTCTTCTCTGTCCCATGGCCTTACCTTCCCACCCCTATCATTCTTCTTGGCCCTTTTCTCTGTCTTTTGGCCTAACCCTCCTGGCCAGTGTCCATCCTTTTCCCGGTTGTCTTCATGTTGTCTGCTCTCATTGTTCCTCTCTTGCTGAGACTGTGGAAGCTGGTACATGTTATTGTTGCTGGCACACCTGTATCTCAGTCAGAAGCATAAACCTGGTTCCTCCCCAGCACGCAAGAAGGCATCAATCCATCACCTGGTTTCTACCTCCGTCCCTGTCTGACTCCACGGAGTCGAATGATCCCCGCTATCCCATGGCCCTTGATTCTTCCTCTGACAATGTCTTTGATAAAGTGCACTCCACTGTTTCTGTCCTTTCCCCATTCTCTTGACTGTCAATCTCAGAGTCTTCAATCTCAATCTTCCCACCCCAGACTGTCAGATTTTGTCCCCTTCATCTGCCCAATTCAATCATCTTTGCTTAATTTACCTATGCGCCCCAACGCCCTGATTTCACTGAACCTGAGCCTTCTCTATTATCCTGTGTTCATCTTTGTATAAGTTTTTTCTTTTCTCCCCCATTATCTCTGTTTTTGACTGTATTCATTAACAGAATATTCATGGCTTTGTACTAACTTCCATGAACTCCAACTTCTGATCTCTCAGTTTATGCAGCTTTGTGTAGGTCTCCAGGAGCTGGTGCTTGGCACTCATGCAAACAATGGTCACAATAACATGTCTGAAGATATGATGACCAAACGACGCATCAGAAAGTGAAGAAAGATGACTTTTGGTCCTTTCTGGATCATTATCAAGCCATGTGAAAGAATGAATGAAGAGTACGATGAATGTAAGAACAAAAGGAAGGCAAATATAAAAAAGTTGGGTAGGAATAAGCAACAGGGGCAAAGCTTAAGCAAGATCATGTTTGTTAAGAGCATTTCATACTTTTGCATGCCCAGCGGGCGACCCGCCGCGCAACGCAAAGTAGGCCAAGCATTGGGTGTGAGTGCGCACACAACACTCAAATGTTTATACTCATTTTGGCTTTTTCACCTCAATTTATGTGCTATGTCATTCATTTTGGTAACAAATTTCTTCACAATATCACAGCGCACATTTTAAAATCAGTCCCATAATATTCGGACTATAAATGGAATTTTTACAAATTTATTAATTGATGTCGGCATTACCATCATCAGGGCCTCTGCATATTTCAGTTTTATGGTGTCGAGACCATCATCAGAATGCGAAAGTGTTAAATGTTCTAACCTAAACGCAGTGCATACTTAAATACTCTTAACCTAATTAACAAACGTGATCTGACTTGAGCTTTGCCCCTGTTGCTTATTCCTACCGTCTTTTCTTATTCTAACCTTCCTCCTATTCTTACCTTGCTTTTTCCTGCTCCCAAAACGTTATCGTTTCTTCACTTTCTGATGCGTCATTTGGTCATTGTATCTTCAGGCATGTTATTGTGACTCATCATCTGCATCAGTGCCAAGCATTGGCTCCTGGAGACCTACACAAAGTGGTGAAAACTGAGAGATCAGAAGTTGGAGTTCAAGGAAGTTAGCATAAAAGCCATGAATATTCCACTGAAGAATGGAGAGTCAAAATCAGAGATAATGGGGGAGGGGGGGGGAATACAGAAAAGAAAAAACTAATACAAAGATGAACACAGGATAATAAGGAGGCTCAGGTTCAGTGAAATCAGGGTGTGGATGCATAGGTGAATCAAGCAAAGACAATTGAGTTGGGCAGATGAAGGGGACAAAGGCAGACTGACAGTCTGGGGTGGGAAGAGGCCTCGGAGATGGACAGTCAAGGGAATGGGGAAGGACACACAGTGGAGTGCACTTATTCAAAGACAGCGTCAGATGGAGAATCAAGGGCCACGGGAATCTCCATTGCAGGGTCACTGAACTCTGCCACGGAAATGGCAGAGCCGGACAGACAGGGACAGAACCGGAGGTGGAAAGCGGGGAATGGACTAATGCCTTCTTACCAGCAGGGGAGGAAGAGGACCCAGGTTTATGCTTCTGACTATGGAGATACAAGCATGCCATGTACTGTGTGTCAGTCTCAGCAGGAAAGGAAGAATGAGAGCAGACAACACGAAGACAACCGAGAGGAGGATGGACATCAACCAGGAGGGTCAGTTGAGAAGGGGCCAAAAAGACAGGGAGGAGGGCTGAGAAGGAAAGGCCACAGGTGACAGAGAAGGAAGAGGTGGAGAGGTGATGCCAAACTGAATGGCAGCAGAAGGCTGGGAGGGGAAGGTGGAAACAGGCAGTGAACCATGTGGAAGGTCCTCTGGGTCAGAATGGAGAGGAGTGGAAAATGGGGAACTGGTGGAGGTATTTGAGGGTCCAAGACCTGAAAACAGTTGTGGAATTGAGAAAGGGGGTGTAGGGAAGAGGGAAAATAAAGTGGGGGTTCAAACACACGAGAGTAAGTCATGTCGGAGAGAAGAGTTAAGGTGTCAAACTTGGCGTCTTGCCTCAGGGTAAGAACTCCGATTATGATGTTTTAAATTGAGAATATCTATCTCAAATTTGTAGTGTATGCATGAGTGAGAGAAGGTAGGGTGAAAACAATTGTCACCGAAATGGATGCAGTGAGGCTGCAGAGAAGAACACTCTTAGAATGGCCTGGGACTCCACACAAGGCACAGGGGACACCTCACTAGTACATTACAAGAGACTCTGCCCAAATTTCCATCATCTGTTGTAGAGGTGAGGAGAGGGGATATATTCCTGAACAAAGAATCCGACAACTGCAAGAATAACAGACGACAAAGTCGTCAAACACTACCCAAAGAGGCTGATGACCACCCCCACGAGGGGGTCGAATAAACATATAAATCTGGGGCCGGATTAAGGAAGGTACTTACGAAGGTTTTTCCTCTTAGCTAAGAGCGTTTTCCGTCTTAGCGCCTTCGTGGCGGCTACGTCCGTATTCAATTAACTACCCTAAGTGGAAAAACCTTCGTAAGTTCATTCCGGGATTTAAGTGTGGTTTCGACCACTCGTAGCTTTACGTAAACTGGATATGTCATTTTTTGTCTACTACATAACACTGGGATCGATTTATGATATTGGAACATGACCAAAATATTATAGCTGGTGAATCTAGTGAAGAGGAATCCTTCGTGTTAGTTATATATGCATTCTCTGCTTGAAACTTGAAGTAAATATGTGTTTGATGATAGTAGAATTAGTTTTATAATAGCAAGATATTATACCAGTAGTTATTAAGTAAATAAACACTGGTGAACATGAAATATGAGAGAAGGTGATGAGCCCTGCCTGATGGGATCATTTACTATCACCAAATGCCCCTGTTCACCTAGTAGTAAGGGTGTACCTTAGCTATACATACCCATTTCTAATTTATTTAGTTTGGTTTTATTTTGAAATTAAATCTGGGTGAGACATAAAATAAAAATATGCTGCACAAATGATGTTAGGTAAGGAAAAGGGTAAAAATGTCAAAAACTTTATTCCTTGAATACTTAAAGCTATAATTATGACTATATAGATTATTAAAAAAGAGAGAGGGAAGTAGGGGTCCAAGACCTCTTCCTGTTATACAATTTGGGTGTGGAACAAGTAATTATCAAAAGAAGGCACCATGCCGGGAAGGCTATGTAGCAGTAAGGCAGTGAGGTGAGGCAGCTACTTATTTGAGAAATGCTTATTTTATTTACCTTATAAGCTGAGGCAACTTATTTTATTTGAGGAATACTCAGCTGGTTCCTCTACATTTAGCATGGAACAAATTTGTGTCCAAGACCTCTTCCTATTACTCAATTTGGCTGTGTGTAACCAAACTAGAAGTGCTCTACAAATCAAGGGACCCAGAATGTGGAATGACCTTCCGAATCATGTCAAAGGCTGTACCTCTCTCAACCAGTTTAAGAGTTAAACCAAGTACTGCCTAGTTAACTCCATGTAACCTAACTTACCTCCTAAATGTCAACCCATGTCTTGCTATTTTTTAAACAACGCTGTTCACCAACATGTGCAATTGCTGATTTATGCTATGTTAACCCCCTTTTTGTATTTTTTATTCCTTCTTTCAACACAATTTATACCTAATCCCGATTACTATTAAGTTTTAGTCTGTGTTTTTTTCCCCCCACACCTTGCCCGAAATGCTATGAGTATTAGTGGCTTTAGATATTGTATGTACTAGCTCTGCCTATAAATCCAACATTGTTTGTAAATCAACTGTATGTACTTTTCCTGAATAAAATGTATTTATTATTTATTTTTTAATCGGTAAGTATTAAAAGAAGGCACCAAGCTGGGAAGGCTATGTAGCACCATTGTGTGTAACAATAAACCAAATTTTTTTTAACAAATATTGCACCTGTATGGGAAAACAAATCCTGTCAGCTGTAAAAATATTGATGCAGTTATTTAAATGAAAAATATAATGAAATAAATATTACTGGTTTATTTTTATCCTATCTTTTTGTAATGTACAGTATATCCAAGGAAGTGAAAAATTGAGACATAATGCACAATTTAATGAATGATTAGCATGGATTAGCAGTTCAAAAGAAATATGACTTGTACTACATATCAACATGAGATCGTAATGATCCATGGTCAACATGATTTAATAAGGATAATACAGTACTGTATTTGTAATAATACAAACTATAATTTAAAATCTTTATTACTGATTTTTTTATTAAGAAGATTAGGTATACACAGCAATGTGCTGCTACCCTATTCTATATGGAATATTACACAGTGTAGATGATAAACTAGCTATAAGTTTATCTAATACTCCCATCTCACAGGATGGTTAGACATACTGTACATGGAATCAATTTAGAAAATACCAGCCTCAATACAAAAAACAAATCAACTCTGACTAAACAACTCTAAGCAATTTTCACAAGAGGTAAGCACTGAATCATGGAAACATTATATTATAATTACTCTTACCAGTTTCTACAAAACTCCTCTCAAACAATGTATTTTTAAACATGTTTAGGTATACACAGCAATGTGCTGCTTCCCTATTTTGTATAAAGGACCACACAGTGTAGATCAAAAACCAGCTACAAGCTCATCCAACATTATCACCTCACAGGATGGCCAGTCATACATGGAATTAGGAGAGAACAAAAGACTTAATGCTGATCTATTAGCCTCCACTGGCAAAATCTGGGTGCAGCACAAGAATATCTTCCAATATTCCTGAGTGTATGAAGTAATTACAGAGCTCAAAATACCTCATACCATTTGGTAGGAAGTCACTGATAACAGGACAATCACAGATATAGTGTTGGAGAGTATGTTTTCTCAAGTAGGACTGAAAACAGATGTTTTTTTTCCACCAAGAGGGCTATAAACCCATGGAACTGCCTACCCGCTGAAGGCGTAAATGCCAAATTCCAGCTAAAAAATATCATTAAGACAATTGGCGGGCCCTTTAACAAGCCGCCGGCTTTCTGTCCTCTTCGAGGTCACTAGATAGTGACGGTTGAGAGTCGGGACCAAAGAACCAAAGCTCAACCCCTGCAAGCACAAATTAGGTGAGTACAACTAGGTGAATACAGCTGAGGGGCGGGACCAAACAGCTGAAGCTCAATTCCCTACGCATAACTAGGCGAGTCCATAGGAATTACCGTTTGTCCTGGCGCCATCTATGTTTTGACAGCAGTACTACTAATGTTCCCACGTTATGTGATGATCGCTATACGGGTGTTACGGTCAGTTGCTCTTCTATATATGTTTATGGACAACGTAGGTGATTTGAGGCAATTTGCGGCCAGAGTGAAATAGTATCCACGCGGTGAGTGATGGAGGAGGATATATACTGCTGTGTACTCGACCAGCGGGTGAGAGGTAAGTTATATCGAACAATTATGGGGAATAGATGGGTTATTTTAAGCGTAGAATGTCAGGTAACCGGTAACTACACAGATGGGGTAGTGTTTTTTTAAGTCTTTATTTACTAAAGTGGAACATTACATTATGCCTTTAGCTGAACAAGTCTACTGGTGGGGGAAGTAGACGGGTTTTATGAAAGTATTTTACCTAAATATTTGTATTTGGTTAACTAGTTCAGCCGTTACCAGGGAGGGTGTTCCTTTAATCTAATATAAAAATTCTAGACGGACAAAGTGATTAAATAAAGAAATTGAATAGAACGAAGTGGTTTGCCAGGGTGCTTAACATTTAGTTTAGTTCACTTACTATGCAGCCCATGCTTAAAGAATGCAAGTTTATCATATTGAATTTACCGCAGTTTTACTGCATTTAATATACCGTTTTTACCCTATTTAATTATGTCGGGTAAAGGCCGGTCGTGGAAAGTTCCTAATATAGCAAGTATTAAAGGAAAAGTTTGAGTTAACTTTAACGCTTAAGTTAGTGACCAATTAGCTTAGTCTATTGTGAGGATAGTTACTAGAATCTAACATTGCAAGTGCCATTTCTCTACTTTTTTTTTTTTTTGAGAAACATGACTAGATACATGAATCTCGGTTTTATTACTAAATGTTCATGGATTAGGTTGCATAGTTGAGGAAATGGTGATAAGGTTTGTGATTTTGTATACCTTGACTTCAGCAG